TTAATATTTTTATTATTTTATTAATCATTTTAATTATTACCCTTTATTAATTTTTGTTTATCAATATACACTTTTTAAATACTATTTTTACCCAGTTTCTTATTTAACGTAAATTTTTCACTGTGTACAATCGTGGCTGACTTCATGCCGGTCTTAGTTATGACTCAACAACGGATAATCCGGTATATAAACTACAAATATTTTTTATTATTATGAGTATATAAAGGGTGATCCATTAGAGGTTCTGTACTTTTTTAAGGAAAGAAAAGTTGGAAGAAATTGTCAGCATTTATTTTAGACCTTACATATCCCCACAGGAAGTGTAACGGTGTGATATCACACGATCTTGGTGGCCAATCGACCGGTCCAGAATGAGAAATTATCTGCTCACCGAAGTGTTCTCTCAATAAATCTATTGATTGATGCGATGTGTGGGAAGTGGCGCCGACTTGTTGAAACCAAATGTCGCCGAGTTCAAGAGTTTCATTTTCAGGCATCAAATAGTTGGGTATCGTGGCGCGATAACGGACGCCATTGACACGCCATCACGTTCTCACTGGCATCATTTTTGAAGAAATATTGACAGATGATTCCATCGGCCTAAAAACCACACCAAACCGTTGTTTTTTCTGGATGAAATGATAGCTCTTGAATCTCTTCAGGTTGCTCTTTGCCTTAAATGCGGTAGTTTTGCTTGTTTACATATCCATTGTGCCGGAAAAGGACTTCATCTTCGGATCTTCTTGGAATTTACGCCAGTCGGAGTTGCTGCGAACGGCGCCGAACCCACGGCCTTCGTGTACACTCTCAGCTACGGCTGCTCTATTATCCAATATGATAAATGAATGCTGAGTCTCAAGTTGGGTGATGGTGCTGCGAAGTGTACGCTCAGTAGCCCGATTATGTTTACCATAAGTTGAGCGAAGCGCGCGAAACACATTCTTTGCAGAACGTGAATTTTAACTGAACAAAAAAAAAACATGACAGCTTAACACGACTCACGCGTGATCTGTTAAAAAAGGCTTTGAAAAGAGTTCCTCTACTTGGATCACCCGTTAGCATGATTATCATTTCTTACTCGCACGATTTTTGAATTTTTTTCACCATCAATTTAGTCATCTACGTCTTAAACTACTTGCTCTCACTTGTGGAGACATGTGTTGAGCACGCTTTAAGCATTCAAAAAAATCAACCATACATACATACATACATGCAAATATACATATGTGCAGATGTACATACCATCCTATGGGTATGTATTTTGAATGCTATAGAGAGCATGGATTGGAGCATTGCAATCGAACGTTATTTGACCTTGACATAGAGTTTTGCAAACTATTATGTATGTATGTATGAGGTGAAGTTAGTAACCATTTAAGGCGAAATACCAAACAAATATTGCCTTTTCTCTTGTATCTGAACTTAAAAGAAAATAACTTTAAAATGTATGACACAAGCAGCTATTAACGTTATTAACGCGACGCTACTTACACTCACAAGTGCGCAAGGTGCTTAAGTGGACTGATGTTGATGATAGAGCCGGTAAAAAAAAAGTAAACTCTGAAGCACCAATTTACTTCATTGTTTCTAACGTAAGTACATATGTATGAGTGTCTGTAATTCATACTTATCAATTCATTTTGAAATTAAATGCTACAATTTATTATGTTTATCATAATTGTTGTATGTCCATGCGCCAGCGCACATTTTCCACGTGAGAATATATTTTTGGCAGCTCATTAATTTTTGTATACATATATTATGTATGTATGTGTATGTATTTCGAAAAAATTAGCGCGAATCTAATGTTACATTAACTAAAACTTATTTGATTCTGACAGCGCTTATCAAATTGTTTGCTGCCTTTTGCAAGAGTGGCAGGTAGTAGCATTAACTTTTTGTCCTATAAAGGTCAGATTAGAATGAAGTAGAAGTATTGAAACTAACATTAATCGGATGATTAGTAATAAAAAGCAAGATAAGTCGAAAATTAGAAGAAAAACAAA